ATCAGCATCCCATGTAGACTGCATAGCAGCATCTTCAGCATACGCGGCCTGTTCTTCAAGCTCTTTGCGAATCACATCCTTCATATCAGATCTGAGCTTTTTCTCCACTTCCTCCAACTTCTGCTTGGCTGTTTCTGTGACCTCAGATCCCTGCGTCCTGGGCTGAGTTGGTTTGAACGATTGCCAAGGGTCACTTTGAAGCCAGGGATCACTAGATGCTCCAGCTCCACTACTCTTGGCCTCTGCCGGCTTGGCCCGTTGTTGCGACTTCATATGCTCCTTGGTTCGAAAGGAGCTGAGGACACTGGGAGCCTCTTTGACGTTCAGCATGGACTTGACCTTAGTGACCACAACATCACCATGCGCTCCCTGAAGAACGGAACTAGGTGGAGCTGTGCCGCTGCCAACATGCCAACCAGCACCTTCTGGTCCTCCCCGGACCGGCTGGAGTGGTTTTGCTGCCCAGCCCCAGGATTTCAGGCATTTGACCAACCCTGCACGAGTTGTTCCATGCGGCAAAGGATGCATCAGGTAGATGTCCTGGACCTGCACCTTCATATAGGTTTCATTCGGCCTCAATTCTGCAAAGGCTTTTGCCATATCAGATTCACGGAACCTGAGCCCCCATCGATGCCCGAGTCGAACCAAGGCCACTGCACCATCCACTGTCTTCTTCTTATGATCCGCCTCCTTGAAGCCCATCTGGTTGAGCCAGACAACTCCAAATCCTGATGCCGGACCCTTGCCATCTGACTGTCTCGGCTCAATGTACAGGCCATGCTGTCCTGATAGATTTTGCAACTGGTCTGCAACCTGCTTGACAACTCTAGCCAACACAGAGAACTGTCCAGCATCTTCAGGCTTGACCCTGCACCACCATCAGTCCGTGACCACCTCCTCTCCCATACATCTGTAAGCAGGCTTTCATATTCTTGATCCACCGGACAGTGATGCTTTGGACATTGGCCTCCACAAGCTGCTCCACGACAGACAGTCAATCCTGGGACGGCTTGAAACAACTGCTTCAAAGGGCCTTGGCACATAGAGTCCCAACTTCCACCCGCTGCTTCAAACTCATCTCGAAACACGATCAACCGCATAGTCTCTGTAGGCAAGGCTTCCAAGCTAGGGGGATTCCTTTCCAGCTGACGTGTGATAATCTCATCTCCTAACTGAATCAGGGAACCTTGCACCAAAACAGGCTCCTGCGTCCCTTGATACAGGACTGGAAATCTGAGATTCTGCACCGGCAGCAAGCCCACCTGCTCATGCGGCACCGGGCTAGTTGTCAGCAAAGCCAGTGGCGAGATGCTCAGGCTTTTACCTTCCTGCAAATAAGGACTTGCCTCATTGACTGTGGCGAATGCCAGACCTGAAGCTTGATTTGAAACATCTGCCAGTTGAATTTGCCGCACTGAGTTGCCAGCGGAGTCAACAAAGGATCCATCAATCAGGCTCAGCTGCTGAGGGTTGATGTGTAGCGGCTGAGTCTCTTGCTTTGCACGTTTGCCATCTCTCTTCTTCATCGAAGCCGCAACTCCATATTGCTCCTCAGCCCTGGCACGTACTTGCCGCATGAGCTCATCAGGCTTGACCCATTGAAAGTTGGTCGATGGCTTCGACCCCAGCTGCTTGAGATCAGCCCACGGGTTTTTCTGCTTGAGTGCAGCAGTCAAGGCAGCCTCTCCTACTGCAGCTATTCCTGCCAGCGCTCTTTCATTTGCACGATCTCTTGGCACACCCTTGGTGATGAGCAGATCGGCCAACTGCTGGGCCAGGCTGCCTGCCTGGCCTTCACTTCCACCACAAGCCCATACCGAATGCGAGACCTCCCAGGAATCTTGGAGAAGGGCATGCAGATTCGTGAGCTGTTCTTGTGTCCAATGCTCATCTGAGTTGGCAATCATGGCAAAGTTGGCGAGAGCAATGACTCCACAATGATCATGCTGCTGCTGCGTCAGCCCGGTGACATAGTGTAAGACAAATCCACGAGCTTGCAATGTCTCCTGTGCCCAAGCAGCAACGGTATTGACCACCAAGTCATGTCCATGCGGCAGGCCATCATAGTATTCAATGTCCAGCCAATCATCATGAAGACGAATCACAAACAGCAACCAATGGTGTGCCGATTCGACAAATAGCACCAGAGGTGCAGCTAGCGGCCAAGCACTCTGAACAAACAACGTGGCATCTACTGGGTTGCCATGCCCCAGATTCACACTGCTCTGCAACGGAACCAGGGTCACTGCTGTAGTGGCTTCGGCTGCAATATGTTCCGCAAACCTCATCATGGCTCTCAGCTCAAGTCCTTCCACTGCAGTCTCCATATCCACATCACTATCAGCAGTGTTCACAGATTGGATGGGTTGCATCAAAGTCTCATGCCAGTGCTCCAAGTCATCCGGAGAGGGTGCTTGCATCAACGAACATGCTTGGCGCAAATGTGCAAGCGCCACTGCTGCACTGAGGTGCGGCCGAGGTTGAACCACAGTTCTGGCAAAAAGAACATCCACTTGCGACAAGCCCCATAGCCGTCCGGCCCATGTCCCAATCTCACGCAGTTCACGTTCCAGCAAATGTATCACCCCATCAAAGTAATGAACCTCCACCGAGGTCTCTCGGCGAACACACGAGAACATGGCCCAATGCCCGCAGCTCTGGAACACTCCATGGAATACTAAGCATTGGCCACAACGATGCGAGACCTTGCTGGGCAAATGAATTGGCGCTTGGATCAGCACCCGCACCTGGTCCACTGTCAGCAGAACCTCACCCGGGCCAGAAGGACTCAGCATCAATTCATCAATAGCTCGCTGAAGTTGTGGACCAGTGATTTCATCCTGAGGCTGTTGCAAACAGACACCTGAATCCAGCGGGCCACTAGAGATGACCGGAACATCCAGCAACGTGACATCCTCCCAGATTCTGCTGTCTGGAAACCAGCATCCATCATGATCATCCTTCAACGAAGTGGGCTCCACCTGCAAGCGAAGTCGCCAGAAAGCTTCAAACACGAAGCTTCCCGAGGCCAGCAAAGTCTGCCAGGTCTTCTCTCCTGAGATAAGTTTCACCAGCACAAGTGGGCTAGCTGCTGTTTGCCTGGGTTTCTCAATCTTGACCACGGTGTAGGCTCCTGACAGGCCTGCTGAATGAAGCACATCAGTACATTTCAGCTTAGAGCGTCCATCCCATAGCTGCACCTCGACATCACTAAGAAGACGCTCCTCAGCATCAGTGAAATCCTTCACCTGCTGAACACTACTGACAGCAACAAGTTCGCCCCCTTGATCATGCCAGACATGCATCAAGCTCCGATCTGGAATGGCACTCGGAGGAAAGACATGATAACGGCGGCAAAGCAATTCATCAAGATACTTCTTCAGTGCAGCCTCAGGGCTAATGTTCACCTCACGAAGCGGGAGCCAAATTTGAGAGAGCAGCCAAAGTGCCTGCGCAGGTGCAGCGATCTGACCAAGCATAACCAGACTCGCTCTCAAGTCATCATCCAGGACAATGTCCGGCATGATGGTTTGCAAGACTGCAAGCTCTTTTGGGTGAAGCCATCGGGGCATGTTGCTCATTTGAGAATGAACATACACTCCTCTCAAACCAGCACGCTCAAGCCGAGCAGGACTCAATCCACCACTTCTGCACTTGCAGGGGCACGCCACAAGCTGGCTGCCATACGAATGAAGAAAAGTCGGGGCTTTTCCATTCATTTGAAGAACCCGATCTCCCCCTCCGAAGCTGGGCTCATGAAATGCCTGAAGCTCAATTCCGCCTAGTTCAAGCTGCGCCTCCTCATGCTCTGGCCAGACAGGCCACTCTGGGATGACATCACGAACTGTGGGAAAAGCAAAGCTGGGCCATGATTTGAGTTCGGCTGGCAGCCAAGGTGCTATGGTGAGGACTGCCCACCAACGATGTCGCTTGCATGGCCAGACATCTTCCAATGCCAGTTCAATGGTGCGCACTCCAAAGTTCAGGCCTGAAGCTAATGTTGCCAAGACACTATTGATCTCAGGGATCGAGCCGGCTTCTGTCACACACTCAAGCAACAGCAGTCCAGGCTGCATCAACCAAGCGGCTCTGGCAACACCTTCAAACACCATCGACCTGCTGTCTTTCATGCCCAGCTTGTCCCCTTGTTTGGAAAAGGGCTGGCAGGGAAACCCTGCAGTCAGGGTTCCTCTCTTGGCCCCCCCAAGCAGGTGCATCCTGCAGACATCACTATCTTTCAACACTGACCCCAAAATTGGATTGGGGTGGTGATTCGCCTCAAGGTGGGAGATGGCTAACCGATTCACATCCAAGGCTCCTATGGCTCTTCCTCCGATGGGCACAGCCCCCATGGAGATGCATGCCAAGCCACTGCACAATTCCTTGACTTCATGAAGATCATCCACGCTAAGCTGAGCTCTCTGAACCACCACAGTACTGACATCAATCCGAAGTACAAACCCCATGCATTCCCGATTGACTAGGACATCATAAACCGTGATGCGATCTTGGAACTCATCCGAAAGACCTTCAACGAAACAAGATTGGCCTGACAATGGCAGGATCCCGCAACGAAAGCGATCGTGCTTGGGAGCAACCAGCTCTATCACACCTGTCCATCGGCCTGGACAGAGCGGCCTTTCCAGAAATGCCACCGACATGGAACACGCCCCTCGAACTTCCGATGACACCGGTGCACCGCTGGGAGGTTTCGAGCCGACACTCTGGAACATGTTACAAAAGAGTACCGTACCTATTAGACAAACTTAGAAGACCCAGATTTAACTTCACATGTGGTGAGAAGCATCAACACGATCCAGCATGTATGGCATCAATATTTGGGTTCTGTGATTGGGATTGGTCTTTGATGGTTTCGGCCCCGCCTAAGGGGCCTAGGGCCAGCGAAAACGAAGACCACAGGTCCTCATCATGTTCAAAAGGTACACACTGAGACTTGAGGTATGCGCCATTCCCCGGTCGCGAAAAAGCGCCCAAGCTGCACATAGATCACTGCCAAAAGCAAGGTGAAGGCCAGTGAGAGTGTCCGGAGTCCAGCGACCTTGAAGACTGTTCAGGAGCTTCAATTAAACAACAATAGGTCCTGAACAAGCCTAGCAATCTACTGTTCATGTCAGTCGACACCCTGGCGAATCTGATGTTGGCGAATCAGTCCTCATCTTAGAATGAAATTGACTTAATACTAAAATATAGTACTGTAATAGTTGCATCTGCATATTCAAGTTGTTTTGGAGCAAGTGCACTTGTTCCATCCATGTGGGTGATTTTCGGACCAGAATGCCTGCACAAAAGCAGCCTGTGGTTACTTCCAAGCATCAAATATCAAACGCCCAGCAATCATACTTGAAGACATAGCAGGATTTATGTTGTCCAACAACAAATCACCTCAAAGGAAACATAATGAAACATATCAATCAAACATGATCCATGATGTAAGCAACTGATTTGAAGTTCAGCTTCACCCCTGGTCCACCCGACTCCGTCCCGCCTTTTATCCCGGATGCCCCGTTCACCCGACTCCGTCCAGCGAACGTTCCCCGTGGTCTGCAGGGGCACTGCGGGGGCAGTTGGGTGTCCCCGCCAGGCCCTTCACCATGAGCCGCAAATCCTTCATGAACTTCAGCCGGAAGACCTTCCTGGGTGGAGCTTCCGCAGCTTCGGCGAGTTAAAACAAACACCGCAGAAGGGAGGGCGAGCTTTTTTCGAACCGCAGGAAGAAGTGAAGCACCGTCCTTTTTGGTGCTATCAGGTTCTGAATACTTATGGGCAATGGCTTAAACACTTACGAGTACCATAGTATGTGGTAGAACATGATCGACTGATGGAAGAAACAAACAAATTCAACTATGACACCCACTTGGCGGGCCTTTTGTTTTGGGCTTGTGCAAACCTCCCAGAACTACTATGCAACTCATAGAAGAACTCTTGATAATGAATTAGACAAAGCACACACAGACACACAATCTTCTAATTCTAACCCCCTTCGGGCAACTCAACGTTTTGCATCAAACATGCCCATCTCAGCCCTCGATCCATCAGCTTCAAGGCTGAGGATTGCCAGCAGCTCGATCGATCTGTGTATTCAAGACTGGGAGACCCCCAAGCAAGGGGATTGGAGTCCAATGTCCTTCCTCAAGGTTTCAGAAGTCTTACTACAGTCATTACCCAAATATTACTTTATATACAGTGAACTCCTCATTCCACAGCGGGGCAGTTGGGTGCCACACATCGGACTGAGAATTCGTCGAAACAAGAAACACACCAGGGGCAAGGACGGAGGCAGGTGGACCTCGTCGAATCCGCGTGGAACCCTGCGCGGTTTCATCTGCGATCGGTGTCGGTGCGTGAACCGTGTCCGACTCCGGAGCCCAAAGCGTTCGACTGACGAAGGAAGACGGCGGCACGGCGGAGCTTGGACGTCTGAAGCTCAAACAACTATGCACAAATCCTACTTGGGCCACCCAACTTCAGACCCCAGAACTTCCGCAGGCTCTCAGACTTGGACGTCTGCGGAACTACCCCTTCAAGTCCAGAACTACCAAGGTTTACCCGACCTTGTTCATTCACCAGATTTGGGGTCTCACATGGTCCTTCTACAAGCCCAGTCCCTCAGCCTTCCAAAACGTCTGGAATCCCGGACGACTACTGTGCAACGACAACAGTAGTCGGTCCGATGCCTGACCAAGCGGCACGATGCGCACCAGGCGTATCAAGCGACAAAAGCGGAGTAGCGAGGTGGGAATCTCGCTACGGCCTGGGCTGAGGCTTCGGTCGGCGCTGGAGTGAACCAACTTGCGGGGCGTTGACCGTTTGGTGCCCCGGAGGTGATGGTATTATAGCACGCGTAACAACTGGGTCATTGCATGTGTTCAGGGTTTTGATGGTTAGAGTTTTAATGGTTTAAAATTGTAAAGCGATTATTAAAAGTCGTGCCAAAGGGATGTCAATCTGTAGTACCAGTAGCTTCAATGGGTGGGGCCCTGCCCATTCTCCACTGAGTTGTCGCGCCCCCCCCCAAAAAAAAGACAACTCCTGGGCCTTTCACCACTGATGGTCGGAAAGCAACATCAAAACAACGGTTAAAATCAGATCGGATATATATATATATATATAACTTTGGAAACATTCCGCTCCAGTTGTGCTCTGCGACGCTCCATGACCAGCCCTGGGTTCCCAAACGTGTGAGACGCACGGGAGGGTAGGATTACACAAGACTATGTACCCAAACATGCACCACCATACCGCAAGTTCACCCGGTCTATTCCCAGGTTAAACCAAACGCGAATTAACGGACCAAGCATCAAGAGATCATGCCCCAAGAATTACGAATTTACTGGTTGAAAGAAATTGTGCTCACATCGGTTTTGTTACGAATGCATTTTCGAACCCTCTGATAAAGGTTATATCGCTGCAGGAAGGGTATATCAGAGGTAACGTACCGTTAAAAAGAGCGCAGTCCAATTTAGGCACGAGAGGCAAACGTACATTTAACAGATACGGTTGACCCGGTAAGGCAGCAAAAACATTTGGATGGCCTGTGTTTGTTTTATCAAGGGAGGCAATCCCACCAATTAGCCTGCGGTGAAATTCAAGCCTTACCATAGTCGATGCACAATTTTTTATATCTTGGTTTTGCTCTCTAAGTGCTTAACAAGACTGCAAAATTTGTGGCCTGGTGCCAAAGGCTTTTGACTTCTGGTTTCTGCAAAGCAACTTCTGGCAAGAAAAAGTCAAAAGGATGGGCTGGCTGATTAACTTTAATCCATATGGGCAAACACTGGCCTGCGTAAAGGGTGAAATGAATCGCCAGTTCGTACCAAGTGATACCATAATCTTTTTATTTACAGGAAAATCTGGGTGGCGCCAAGTTAACTGTTGGAAAAAGGACCAAGAACGATATGCAATCTGGGCTCCTGCCGGACAAGCGTGTGCGATTACATTTTGGAGCTCCCCGGAAAAGGTCCAAAAAGGTACACTTCCAGGCGGATAGTACTTCTTGCATATGCGAAATGTCATCACACCCTTGCCGGTCTTCCTCATCTGTTTTTTTTCTTTCTTTCTCAATCTTTAGACTGGTTTGGAGGTGATTGAGATCAACAAGGTATTTGTATACTGTCAGCAAATCTCTCATCTGGAATCTGGTACTCACTATGGATACGGATCACATCTGCTGCTTCTTTCAATGGAGCAATATCTTGCTTATTTATGAGTTTAGCGGTTTCGTCTGCAACGGTGTTTCGTTTCGGATGCGAGTTTAGGTCATCAGGATCAAATGCCTCTCCCAGCGAACGGATGCCACGATTTTCGTCAACGAGTGACATCAACAAGTGAAGGTGGTACTTGACGAGAGACGACGAGAGTAAAACTCTGATACCCACACTACTGATTCAAGTTCCCTTCGATTTATTGTCTGGCCACCTTTGACATGCGAGACCTGCAAGGTTTCCAATTCATTAAGCAAAGGGTTGGTGGTATTTTCACACCATACGAACCGCTGCCCAAGCAGCCTTACGAATTACAACAACTTTGCCCTTGCGGAAAATCGCATGTACCATTAATGGACCATCAATAAAAGATATATGTTCATACCGATTTTCGTTCTGATAAGATGGCTCGAGAAATGGGCCCACCCGTGACATTTTTTATTGGTTGTAAAGTTATAAACAATTTGTTGTGGATAGATAGTGGTAAGAGGCAGCCAAACTAGATGCTGATGCACATTCAGAACCTCTGTAGCTCTGCTGTGATTATCACGAACATGCGCAAAGTTAGGGCAATGCAATAAACGATGCTGTGTGTCTGGTTGACCACAGTACAGTACCCACCTTCAATAGACTGTGTATTTTCCCAATTAGCCTTTACGGCTGCCGTTTAAAGCCTCCTGTCAGGTTAAGCGAAATCAGTTTTTGTTCACGATCTGTCAATAGATTAACTGGCATAATTGGCAGATTAATTGATCTATTAAACCCTGTCAAATTAAACTCACATCAGTTTTTGTTTACAGTTGATCTATATAATATATATATGTGAGTTTAATTTGTGGAGTTATAGAGTTATAGATATAGATCAACTGGCATGGCAGTGATACCCATACCCTTATGGTGGGACACCTGGGCCAATCTGCTCAAAATTCGGATCTCCCTAGTGGATTGGGATGTAAGATCAATGTGGTGTCCTAAGTAGGCATATCAAACGGGGAGTGGAGATTAATGCAGCTTTCCTAAGTCGGCCATAGCACTGCTTGGACCCCGAGGTGGTAAGACTACTTGCGCGGATCCTGGTTAGCTAAGCTTGGCTAAGCCTAGCTTTGGCTAAGTCAGCTAAGTGACTTACAGAAGATATGGGACTTATAACCTAGGTTATAACTAGACAAGTATTATAGGGCAACAAATCCAGGCAATACTCACCTTCCGCCACCGGAACCCCCACCGACCCCATCTCCCGCTCGCGCTCCGCCGTGGCGCGTTGATTCACCAACTCCACCGTGACCTCTCGAGGCTGAGCCAAGTGAAGATCGACGGCGGTGAAGATCGCGACGGCAAATCACTGGATTGACGGCAAATGTGGGGTGCTGGTGATTGGTACTTGGACAAATGACATGGTTGGTTTATTATGTAATATAGTGTATAATCAAATGAACATATAACATGTATTTTAGATATATTGAATTAGACATAATTAGACTCTATCTATTAATCTATAGGCATGCTGAGTGGCATCGTCGGGATCTGCAAGGACCAGCCAAGGCGATGGCTCCCTGCGCACCTTTGCTCCAGTGGTTCCAATTTTTTTAAGAGTCCTGTAATCTGGTGACGTCATCGCATTCGGCTGCAAACCTCTCAAACATAATGTCCCATGTTCTCCTGCACATAATGGTTGTCATTTGCTTAAAGTGGCGAGACGTTTGTCCATCACTGTTCACTCTTCACACTAGCTATAGCAAGAATTCTAGGTTTGACCATGGTTGAAGGTCCCACCAAGCAGTAGTGTTTCTGATGCATCTTCCCTGTGAATGGCTCCACCATTCATCGAAAGACTGAGCTGCCTGAGGCTTGCACAAAGGTCACTCTGGCACCCCAGCTTTCCCCGCTCATCCGAGAACCGTTCCACTCAAAATCTTGGTCAAACTGCCTAAGATCCCTCTCCACGTCCCACTTGGACCGTTGGACTCCTTACACTGCTGTTTGCCTTGAACTCCCTCCAGGATCGCAGCACCACAGGACCGCAATGTGTTTTTCAGGCCAGCTGAAGGGCAAATGGACTGGTCAAACAGTGAGGTCTTGGCTCCTCTACTAATTATGTTTGTGGGCTCCAGACTGATACTGTATATATATATAACTTGCCAAACTTATTCAGAATCAGCACATTCTTGAGATGATACCTAATACCTCAGATATGTTTTCTTCTTTCTGAATTCATTCTGGAACTCCAACCTGGAAGATCGTTCCAAAACACAAACCCAAATCCCTCCAAATCCTGGGCTTCCACACATCAGTGATGCCAGTGATCCCCAAGAGCACGTCGAACCTGTGAAGAAAAAACAACCAAACGTCCCGAGCTCACACCGACTCTGTAGGAGCGCGCTCTTGCCGCTGCGGACCTCTGACCGCTTCAGACTCACCCGCCCCCGAGGTCGACCCAAGGTCTCTGCATCCCAAACACCAGAAGTTGCTTTCGGTACCAAAACCGGAGTCACCCCGCCAGCGACCGTGCCAGAAATCAGGTCGGTCCACTCATCGGCTCGCAGTTCTCACCGGGCAAGGGATTGAGAAGGAAGAAGGAAACTGAAACATAGCAATGCACTAGTTCCTAGTAGCTTCTTGTTACTACTCGTAAGGCACCTGTTACTACTAGCGTGGCACTTGTTACTACTCGCAAATAATTTATACTAGTACAACAATTTAATGATTACACAAACCATACAAGAACCAACTTGGGCCATGGCAGACCCCTGTGTCATCACCACAAGAGAAAGAAAGGCAAAAACTTTTTCAACCACCACAACATAGCCCTGTCCATCGCACTACCTCAGTGGCAAAAGTCTCATTCTCCAGAGTATCTACTTGTTGAGAACAAACAACACTTTATTGTTTCCAGTGTGAAGTACCTGTAAACGCTACTGGGAGCAAAGGGCATCGCTACTAGCGGAGCAAGGACGCTACTAGGGGCTCCTGGCCATACTACTAGGAGCAAGGACGCTCCAGTGTGGCTGTTGCAAATCTCTTGAACAGGATTGACCACCCAGGCGGCAGGCGGCTTCGTCGGAACCATCTGGTGACCCAGCCCGACTACTGACTACTGTTGTGGTCGCACGGTGAACCGGTCAAGCAGGGTCCTAGCAGGGAGTGGAGGATCCAGAGCCCGAAGAACCAGAGTGCAAAATGCTATAAGCTCTGACTGGACTGGAGCCCGGACTGGACCCACTCTCATGTTCAACTGGACTGGGTCTTCTTCGTCAGACCAGACCAGCCTCCTGCCCAGGCGTGTCTCTTCCAAGTGGCAAATTCCACAGCTTGTCTTCACCGCACCAGAAGGTGGAACAGCCCAGCAAGTGCCTGAGGTCATGAGGTCCAACGAAATGAAGAACTCCCTAAAAATATCCAGAGGTCCAAATCTCCAAGAGTTCGATACTAACACATCCTGACAACTTAAATGAGATGGATCTTCAGAAATGGCTTAAATGCATGAGCTGGCCAATGGGCGATCGAAAACACACGCCCATGACTATGACTGTAAGGCAGCTAGCCATGTTCTCCAGTGCTATATCCTCAGAATCGTTCGCAAACAACCCTGGACCAAACTAAACATATATATATATACAGTACTGTATTCTAAGGGTTAATTTAAGGTTTCTACAAGAAAGGCTACTGGACACACAAAACTTAAACAGGGCACAGCTGTTGCCGCGGCTGCCTTTCATTGATGTTGTGCGAATTTAACCCCGCTTCAGTGCGACTCTTTCGGAGGAACTTGAGAGAGGAGGGGGTGAACGAAAGGTAGCAGGCAATCACAAGCAACCCTGATAAAAGTCCATGACGGCGTGAACCGGCGCAGGGGGGATTTGATCCAGGGGGGCCCCCCCCCCCCGACAAACAGAATCAACTCTTACAGGACCAAACTCAATGCACAATCCCAACTCCTGATTGTAATACATTTTTGCTAAAGCAAGGAGAACTCAGGTAGCTCAAGCTACCTTTCGTGATGACGTCCATTTCAACATACTTTGAACACTTCCGGCTGCGCCAGGGTGCCAATGTCTGGCTCATCTGGATGAACATGCTCGAGGCATGTGATTCTTGCAACACCACATGTGTGAAGGTCCATAAGTTCCATAAGACTACCCAGCAGCTATTGACCATCCAAGTTGGCAGCAAAGGATGCTCTGGAAGTGTGCGCTTGGAGATCTGGAATTTGTTAACCTATGTTGACGACCTTGTATACTTTGTTCATATGATAATCATAATCAGAAAGCTACTCACTATATACCCACTACAACTCTCATCAAGAAGCGTCAAAAGACCTGGAATATCTCATGACAAACGGTAGGAAGATGGTATCGAAGGGGCCAATGTGCATTCGACAAAGCATTGCGACCGCTACAAAGCACGCACGATCCACGAACGTAAGAATTCTATACACGGGCATGCACAAAAACTGTTGATCACTGTAAGAGGCTGTAAAGTTTGACGGCCTTGTTAAATTGCGTGGCCAATCCATGAGGCTATCATGTTCATGCACATTTACATGTTCAATCATATATATAATTGCATCATTACATGGCCATGCAAAACTTGAAAACCACAAAAACGTCCTGAATCTGGGGCCAACAAAAACATGAGAAAACAACAGCAAAATCCGATGATACACCACGCATTGACCGATGCCCTGTGTTTTCTTGGGCGGATCGGTTTGTTTTTTTCCCAAAGAGGTCTTGGATGCCAGGCATGCGCAGAATGATCTCCAGCACCAGGAAGGCGGCAAACACGATCTCCAGGCTGGTCCAGCCTCAGTTCGGCCCACTTCGTAGTGGAAAAATCTGAAACTTTGAAACACATAGCATAAAAGAACAGGTACTTGCATCCATGTTTGCAAGTACTGGGTGGTTGCAGGGAGACACAAATTCCGATCTTGCTAACATTTGGAAACAAATTGCATTCCTGGACCCTCCAATAATAAGTACCTGACCTGGATAGACTTCTTTCAATAGGGTCATGTCCCGTTCTCTAGGGTGCCAGGGTGCTGTGTGAATTTCTACATAATTGTACAACACTATATACATATCAGTTACTTACACACATATTGTTCCTGACCCCGCGCAGCTTGATGCAGCAAGGGGGACCACATTTCGGCTGCCGGCAAAAAGGAACCCATGTGAACATGTTGAGGGTGGTTGAGTCTCAGCTTGTGTGTCAACATGTGCGTGAACCAAACAAAACAACTGGAAGAGCTTTCCATCCAAGCTGTGCCACCTGGCTGATACTGATAGAAAACGCCACGGTGTTTGTTATTATCAATCTGGGGGCATGGCCGACCAGTGACGCTGCGCAGAAGGTCCGCAAAGCACTGGGGACATGGCCGACCCAGACTGAAAGTTCATCATAGGTCTGCAAACCAATCCTTGGTACTGAGCACTGTGACAGAAAACGGGGACAAGGCAACAGTGATTAGCATATTCTCTCTCCTTTTGGTTTGCAGGTTTGCAAAGCAACCCTGCGGTGAACGTAGACGGCAGAAGACAAATACAGTAGCTGTGGATCAATACCAAACACCGCAATGCCATGGGAAGCTGACATCCCAATAGCCATACGTAGATTGGCACCAGGCAATGAGGACAAATGTCACAAGACTCTCTCATTGGTATTCATGTTCAGTTGGTCCTTGCAACCAAATGACTCTCAGGGTAGAGAACCACACGTCAAATGAGCATGTATGTGTAACATGGATAGACCCCCAAAAGCTACTTGCTTGTATGCTGCTTGCATGTCCAACTGTAATACTGTATATATTATTCACATGCTAGACTTCAGAAACTTATTGGTATGGGTGATTGCGATGTGTGACCAATTTTTCTGAATCAAGGACTATGTGCTACGCGCAACAAAAAAAGTATTGGATTTGCAGCCATAGACCTTTAGATTTAAACATACCCCCTGCAATGATTGTTCCATATGCTTTTCCGTCACATCTATCCTCTTTGTCAGCCCGTTCTCTTTGAATGGCTTTTGTTTCTGATCCAGAACCCAAATTACAGCGTTAAAGAACTCAATAAATATGGAAGGACCAGTCTTTTTGAGGAATTAGCTTCTACATTGTACATCTGTCAGGACCAGAATTGTTTCTGCACTGCCTCCCTTATACCAGTATAGTAGTGTCTTGTTCGTCTACTAAGGAACGTACTTGAATAATTTGTGATTTTAAGTATTCTTCATTCCCATCAGTATGAGCATGAGGTGACAGCTGAACTTTACTGCTGGTATCAAATAACATGTTCATTCGTATCTATCCATTTAGATTTGAGTTGACCGTTCTGAGTACAGTATGTGTCAACATATCAAACGGTTGAGCGGGCTTCTGCAATGTTATATAAAACAAACTATAGCATTCAATTTTGTGTTTACTGCTTATGACTCGACTACTGAAGCAACACCCCTAGCCATGTAGCAAGAGGCAACACTGCTGAAGGCTACATGCCACTATTCACTAAGTTTACACCGCCGATATAGGATTATTAAGTGCAAAACAGCAGGAACATGAGTCTAAAACAAGAAAATGCAAGAACTAGGGAACTTTACACACATAATTGTCACACAATAAACTCGACTTTAGTGACCTTAGCTCACGTAGAAAGCAATTACAAAAGTCAAACAAACTAGGATCACAATGACTACGAATACATATTAGTGCTCTATCAAACACGTCCATTTTGGCAGCTTTCATAAAAGATCGCAAAACATTAGGTGTCATAGTTGTGGTAGTTTTTGTTTCCCTTTGCATCCAGCAAATCTCTAGATATAGGGAGAACTGATTATATAGATGATGCATCTGATTCAGATAGTATATCCCAGTGGCAACGGCTACGAACTAGTTCTTACACCCAGAACCCAAGGACTCAGATGCCCTCAACCAATTCTGCGCGATGCAATCGAACAGTTCTTGGTTCGAGGGATCTCCGGACGAACTTCGGACCTCTTGTCTGCCTAAGACCTATAGGTCCCAAATGGTTTGTCTCAGGATCGGTGCACGTCCACGTGAGAAAAACACATATATCATATATCTAATATATATATATATATATTGTCACCCAAGCCGTCTCAACTTTGGTTGATGTCCCAAGCCCTTTGATTTTGAATAGTAGTGAAAACACGTCACTATGGTGAATCTTTTGGGCTTGAGAGGTACTCTTGTATAATACATATCGACATCCACATTTAATAACAAATGAAACTCAAGACCTTGTGAACATAGGTATTCAAAACGTGTTTCAGATTCCGTTTATATTGGGATGTACCTATCGTCGTGCAACTATAGGAGTTTGAATCTATTTAATCTGGTCAACATCTTTGTTGCCAGGGCTTGAACATCAAGGTTGGATGATGTCTACTGTGATTGCGGTCTGGAAGCAGGAACACTCCTCTTCCTTGGAGCAGTCAGCTAGTTGGAACTGGTCCAAACATGTGAAAGAAGGCTACTGTAATACAACATAAAAGTGCTAGTGCTACAATACGTGTTTTGTTGTGTAAGTCACAGGTGATACAGCAACTACAGCTGCAAGCACGAAGACAACATGTTGTCAATTGATTCAGCTGTCATTGTACATTCACGAAGTCCTGAAAGATCTGTGGGGTGGAATTGCTCTCAGTGGATGCTACCCTGTTACCGCTTGGACGTGCTGCTTCAACGAAACGAGCGACACTGAGAGGTTCTAAAAACGAAACCCAAACAGGTGCCACAGGTGAAAGGACATCGTCCAATGTGAAACTCCAAGTCTTTCTATTTGGCAAACTGCATAGTTTATACATGTGAGGATTATCTATGGTTACAGGCAAGAACCTATTGGTATGGTCATGGTCTGGCCTCCCTTCCCTCTACAGGAACAAAAACACCAGGGAGTGGCCTACCCAAAATATGATTTTGTCATACGGTTGTCCCCCAACCCGCATGTAAACATCGCGAAGGACTGGGAGAACATTCCGCTGCTTGGCATGACCCATGGAACCAAGTTGCTAAAGGAAACCACAATGATCAACAATTTCTCAGGTACACACTGGGACTTTGTGAATGCATGTCTAAAGATTACTTCAAGATTGTGAAACACACTTGTTCCTCTTTTGGACATAAGACTCTTGGTGAGTAAGCATCTAGGTTGGGAGAGTCCACCGTACTAACAGCAATTTATCAATTTTGATGATCCCTCCCATGCATCTGCCTTCTGGCAGACTCCATCACTGCCGTTGCAGATGCCGTCAGCATGCTACAGAGTGTCCCATGGACCACTCTCTGCGGCTGAGGCTCATGATTCCATTGCAAATGATGAGGAAGGCGACAAATGGTTCAACATACCTTTTGCAGGCGCTGCGGTATGTTAAAGACAAGACAAAGGGAGAGAGGGAAAGGCTGGGAGGTTGGTCATCTTTGGTGACAAAAACATTCCCCTTCAAATGAAACTGTCAGCAAATCCGTCTCCAGTCGGAACGGCCCAGTTGGGTGTGAAAAAGACCCCACTGTTCAACTAAGAAGTGCGAGATAGTGCGAGATTGAAAGGTGAAAGAGTGTGGTCAACTATGTGGTCAAGGTACCTCGTGGTCCTCTCGACCCCCCTCTCGTCTGTGCAGCGCCCAAAGATGCGACCGAGCCAGCCTCAAAACCCTGCACATCCCCCCCCTCTTTCTATGATAGGGAGGGACCAAGCAATGTCAGGCGGCAGTGGATCCCATTCTGGTGCCGAAACACATCAATGGATGAAGCGGTTCGGGAGGCGCCGCCAGATCATTGATCCGAACCTGGATGCTTCGAAGGAGGGTTGCGGGACGGAACCCGGAAAATCAAACTGCACCCAAGTACTCAGGCTTAAAGAGAATCTTCCCATGGTGTAAGTACCATGGGTCATTCATGGTCTGTCCAACATCACACGTTTCGAGGGTACCCGTGGTCCGTTTTGTGAAAAACCCAGCCGGGCGTTGCGTCTTCTTGGTTGAAGTTTCACACGAAAAAGGGTCAATTGAGTCAGGTAAAGGTTGAACATTGTACCTGAGAAGGGGGAAGCGAAAGCCAGTGGAAGTTCATGCTTTAGCTGGATGCGTGGCTATGTTGGGGGGATTGACGCAAATGCTCACTTCGATACTGAACATCTGCCAATGGTTGGAAGTTGTGGTTTGGAAGAACGAGCCAACTTCGCAGGGGAGTGCTTCACACGATTGCTTGCTGCAATACAAGGGATGCTCCCTACAACTTTCGCAGATTGTCATTCCGGGGAAACAGGAACGTGGCATAGCAATGCCAATGGAGAGGTGGCACGCTGTGATTATTTCATCTTGCCACAGACTATTTGTCTTGCCCAGGTTTGCACCTATCCCAACTCATGTATCGACTCTGGAGCTAAGGGATTAGATCATGTTCCTCTTGCTTTGGATTTGGAGATTCATCAAATGGCATCTCGCAGTGTTCGCCGGCCATCTTTCGACAGAAACGCTTTGCAAAAGGCAGATAAAGCTGAGCTTGAGCGAATCTTTGCGAATCCTCCAAAGTGCCCGTGGGGCATGCATGTCGATCAACATGCCATGGCAGTCACATCATGGGTTCGGGAAAGGCTTGTAGCCTCTTTTCCTTGTGGCCGGAAAGGGCCACGCAAGAGCTACATTTCAGATGATACTTGGAATGTGCGGAAAAAGCGGTTGCATGTTAGAGCGCGTTTGCAGAATTTGAAGGCTTGGGCTGTCAACTTGACCTTACATCATGCATGGAAATGTTGGCGGGGCCACACCTGGCTTCAACCGGCGAAGATCGCATTCGATGGACTGCAACTGATATTCCAAATTCTGGCTCTGCGGAGTGAGGCAGCGTCTCTGTCCAGATCACTTTGTAAAGGGCTCAAATTTGATAGAACGAAGGTTTTGGAAGCTATCGGAGAGCAAGCAGGCACTCTCAATGCCAAAGCTTTTGCAGCAGAGCTGCGAAAGTGGGGGGTTCATAGTCGGCGAAAGCAAACTTCTGTCCTTCCTTTGCCCCTTGTGAAAGGAGTTCATGGTGAAGTCCTTGAGACTACTGAACAAGTAGCTGAGCGATGGCGAAGCCATTTTGCCGATCAAGAGGACGGTGTGCCGATGACTCCACAACAATTGATTCATATGAATGAGGAAATCCCGCGTAGAAAAGCAGTCTTGCCGTGTTGGGATCAGCTACCCACTTTGGCTGAATTAGAACAAGCACTGAGAAACACGGCCTCCGGAAAAGCTTTCTTTTATGACGAAGTACCAGGAGATGTCCTGCGACAACTCCCAGCCCTTTTTGCGCAGGTGCTGTTTCCGCTCTTTCTCAAAGAGACAGTTTGGCAACGTGAAGCACTCCTTTTCAAGGGCGGCAGACTAGTGCCAATGTTCAAGAAAGGCAGCCCAAGTGACTGCCGAAATTTTCGATCGCTTTTTGTTTCTAGCCCAATAGGCAAGCTTCTCCACGGGATCTATCGGCAGGAACTCGGAAGGTGGTTTGACTGCAAGCGTTTGCCACTTCAGATTGGCGGGCTCAAGGGACAGACGACGGTCCAAGCCAGCCACACTTTGCATCTGAGTCATAGCATTGCGATTCGAAGACAGAACTCCTTTGCGATTTTGTTCATCGACATTCAGAATGCTTTTTATCGACTGCTACGCGGACATATCACGACATCCCTGCAAGACACTCGGGATGTGCGTGCAATGTTTCGAAGCATGCATCTGCCTGACGAGGTGTTTGAGGAATTTCGCAGACATTTTGTTGAGGGGCCGGTGCTCGATGATTGTACGGTGAGCGCCTTTCATGCTTCCTTGTTTCGCGAATTTTATGAAGCGACATGGTTTGCAGTCGAAGGATGTCAAAAGCTGACGTGGACACGGCGTGGAAGCCGACCTGGGGACTCGTTGGCCGACATCTCGTTTGGCTTCGCCTTATCGAAAATCCTGGGCAACATTGAACGGTTGCTGACAGAACGCTTTCCTTTTCTTAATTTGAGTTGGAATGGTTCGCGAAGTCCGCACCCAGATTTGGGAGCTGACAATGTACTGCTTGGCCCAGTCTTGCCGATTTGGGCAGACGATATCTCCTTGGCATTTTGGCACCCATCACCGACTGTGATGTGTGAAGTGATTCCCCAGATTTGCAATCTGGTCCTTCACCATCTAGCCACTGCCGGTTTGACGCCAAATATGGCTCGGGGAAAGACTGAATTATTTCTGGAAGTTCGAGGCGCTGGTGCTGTTGATGTGAAGAGACAGCTCTCCAGGCAAGACAATACTTTTCGGTTAGAGTCTGACTTGATTTCAGAGCCGCTTTTGATAGTTGGACACTACAAGCATCTTGGAACGATCATTCAAAAGCGCGGATCTATGGTACGAGATCTGAGCAGCAAGTTCGCTGTCGCGCATGATGTTTTGACTCGTTTCCGCACACAGATCTTTTGCAACCGAAAACTGTCTTTGACCCATAAGTCCCGCATGGTGAAGAGCCTGGTTTACAGCACTATGATTTTCAATTGTGCTGTCTGGGCGCCGCGTACTGCTAAACAGCAGAGGCAAATGGAGGCGGGTTTCACCAAATTGGAAAAGAGAATTGCAGTCATGCACTACGGTGCTGATGCCATTGACTGGAGCGGATCTCAAGCGCGAGCGGCCCTCAATCTGCCAGCCAGTGAGGTGATTCTCAGAGAGGCGCGCCTTCGATACATTGCACAGCTCATTCGATCAGGGCAACCACATGTTTGGAGTCTCCTGCAGGAAGAGAAATCCTGGTTCGGCAAAGTTGCTGACGACCTTGTCTGGCTTCAGTCTTTCTGTCCGGAGGACCAAGTTCCGAACGGAACGCCTGAAGAATGGGAACATCTTTGTTGGTGGGCAAATGAGCGACCTAAAGCCTGGAAGAGTCTGATCCGAAGAGCTGTGGAGCGGGCAAAAGCCCATGCTGCACGCGTCCATGAATGGCGGGACTGGCATAAGGCTATTGTGGTAGATTTGATTGAGGCAGGTTTGATTGGTAGAGATGTGGCTTCAAGGGCCCATGAAGAGTTCTTTTGTGCAAAGTGCAGGCTTGATTTTGCAAGCAAATCGGCAGTAGCTGTTCACTCCTTCAAGTGCCATGGGCGAGTTAATCTTGCCAGGCACTATGTTGAAGGACTACAGTGCAAAGGATGCCTGAAACACTATTCGTCAAATATCAACTTGATCAATCACGTGAAGCGAAAGCCACGATGCCTCCAAAGTTATGCGGTAGAACCTTGCATGCTGGATCCTGCACCAGGACTGAACAGTCGCATTGAACGCAAAAATGACCGGGACATGGCAGATCCTTATTTCCAGGCAGAAGGACCTGTGCAGCCAGTCAGTGAAGCAATGCCTTTCGACCCAATTATTGATGCAGAAAAATTCCGACTCTCGAATTGTTGGGCTAAGCGGTGCGTTCAGGAGTTGGCCAAGATGACCTGAAGGAGATCATTCGTGATTCTTTGGGATCAAGCTTTCTCTATGTGGACGAGATGAAGACTGTGATCCAATCTTTCAAGCACCATCTGCAGGAGTCTGAAGAGGGAAGTATTCAGCAAATTTTGGCCTTGCAAGAGGCTGACAAAGCGGTTTCTCGATCTTGGTTGTTTGGGGAGTTCATGTCTCCTAAGGAGCATGAAATCGACTATGTCCAATTGATTGAAAAAGAATCATGCCTTTTGGATGCTTTTCCTCCTGTCCCGGTAAGAAGCCCGAAATACTGTCCAGTTATCTTTGCTCATATTTTCTCTGGAAGAAGAAGGCCAGGCGATTTCCAAGAGGCAGTCGAACGTCTGGGTGCTCGAGCGATCAGCATCGACATTATTTTCCACATCACCTATGGCGACTTGTGTCGAGCTGAGACTTACGCACTGTTCAAGCGAGCCTTCTGTGAGGATGTCATTTGGGGGTTCCTCGGCGGACCCCCGTGCGAGACGTGGAGTCGAGCAAGGGGCCGTCAGCTTGTTACAGGAGAAAGTGGTCCTCGGCGAGTTCGACAAGTCGAACGCCCTATGGGGCGACTTGACCTGACCGAGAAGGAGGACCGCCAAGTCCGACTAGGCAGTCGACTCCTGGGCGTTGCGATCAGGATGCTCTTCTTGGCCGCGCTGACATCCAAGACAGCGATCTTGGAACATCCAGCAGAGGATCTGCATGATCTGAGTCAGCCTTCCATTTGGAAATTGGCCATCCTGCGACTTTTGCTCCGTTTTTCCACGTGTCGAAAGATTCGAGTTTTGCAGGGGCACTATAAAGCTTCTTCTGCGAAACCAACGGAGCTCATGCTTGTGAACGTCTGTGATAATGCCGAGCAGATGCTTTTGAATGCACGCTGCTCAGAGGTGCCTAAGGCTACCTCGATCGGCAAGAATGTTGAAGGGGCGTGGCAGACAGCTCATTTAAAGGAGTACCCTGAGGCCTTTTGTTCGGTCTTGGGGGAGATCTTCGTGAGCAGCCAGCCCAGTTCCGCAAGTGACCTGCCAGTGCCTTCCTGGTTTACTCATGTTTGCGATGAGCTTACCAGTGAGTTCAACTTAGATGCTGAAATGGGCATGGACTATTGCGGAATGGACCCGAATGCCAATTAGGAATTTAATGCACACTCGGCCGCGGACGACCGTCTTTGGCACATGAGAAAGAAAAAGAAAGCTGGATGCGTGGGTGGACTGGCATCCTGAATCAGACTTACACCTCAAAAGCTCCCTAGATCAACCTCCTTGGTC